ATAATCGTTATAATTAATAAGAACATACTTTGTTTGCAAGTCGTTTCAAACAATCTTCCCATCTGTCACCTCATAGACAAACACAAGTCAAACATGTACAAAATTCATTACAAAATAGTCTAGTTGTGGGGGTCATGAGTGGCGGGGCTGGTTAAAATGGAATTGACTATGAGCTCCAGAAGCCACATCCACTTCGCGGCCACCGAGATGGAGAACGATTGGATGCGTTTCAATATCGATATTTCGGAGGAAGTGCGATATCATCATCGCCATAAGGCTGAAATGAGTGAGTCGATGCACAACTCAACTCAATAAATAAGTTTATTCTTAAACATATTTTCAGGTCGCAATCCTGGTGGTGGGCTGGGCAATCGAATCAAGGAGAGGGCCAAGCCGTTTGAGGAACCCAATAAGTTCTATGCCCAAAGTCATGATCTTTTGCAGAGCGACCGCAAACGGAGTCTCCTTGAAAACGATCGTCCCAAGGAGTACACCAAAAGCCGTAAGCACTTTCATCGTCGAGCTTGTAAGACAGTCAGGAACAGTGGCGACTCTCCTGAAGGGAATGGCAACTGGTACGAAACCCCGAAACATGAATTTAATAATTCAGAGAGAGCATTCCACACACTTTATCCAACCCCACCCGAACTGCAACGAGAATGGATAAGGGCGAGAGCCCAGGCATATGCTGATCCCGAATATCCGTACCATGCCCATGGGCCATACCAGATTATACCCAGGCAGTACCAGTACCACGAAGCTCGCAGTCCACCTAAGCCCCGCACTGACCATTTATCGTTCGCAGAAGTTCCGCCAGTAGCAGCACGCATATCGCCATCTTATAGAGACTTGAATCATTACTCGGAGACCCCATCTCACGATGTACTCAGTGGCGAGTATTTAGTGTCAAGGCCAAGCATTTCCAGCCACAGACAACCATGGGAGCGGCCGAAACAAGTCATGGGAACAGTGCCTCCCGAATGTCCATCGACCCACAATTCCCCGGACTATTATTATTCGAACTCTTACCACGACTTTAAGAAACACAGACAAACAAATGGAAATAGTAATTACAAGGATCAAGCAGTTGGTGGCACCCCCAGAGAGTTTTCAGATTACGATTTTGATGCACGAGCGCACCCTCCATGCAAACCCTCACCAAAAGACGCCTCCAAATATTATAATGCATACGAAAATACTTCACATAAGAAGGCTCCTACAAAATCTGATACATATTACAAGCTGGATCCTGAGAACGAATTCGGATATGTGCCCATTAAGCTATTTGATAGATACTACAATTCTTCGGAAACTGTGCCTGAGCAATATGACAGCGTTAACTGCCAACAAAAGAATGCCTCTGCGAAAACAGAAAAAATGCGTGCACAAAGGTGTCAAGACTGTCCGTTTCTGAAGGAAGATATTCCTCATCGAAAAGCTTATTATGCTGACAAGAAAAAACACCAATTTGGCAGAGCATCTTCCTCCCAGCAATGCCATAGTTTTGCCAACATTCCTCAGCCACTCAAGTACCCCCGAGATTATTCATCAAATATTCAAAAATCCAAAAAAAATAAAACTTCACAAACTCCGAAAAGAGCGATAGACCATGTCGAGCCTAAATATAACGTTGATGGTTCGGAAATACCCCGTAAAATTCTAACTGATGTACACTTAACTCCTGTGGAGATACCCTATAGAAGGAGACATAAATCAGTGGCCAAAAGCCTGGATGCAGGCTGCGATACCATGCCATCTGCCTCCGAACTGACTATAGGCAAAGGATCGCGCCACTCACTTGATCCTCAGAGTCGTGCAATCCATAAATACAACAAGCAAGATGGCCACCCAGGCTGCAATGCATTAAAAGATGGAATTTCTGGTTTGGTGAAGAAATCGAAAGCTTGCCTTAATAGATCGAAACTTTTTAAAAGCAAATCTCTGCTACTAAAGGGCTACAAGCCGGTTAATTGCTTCAACTTTTCCTCCATGGTGGCTGGAATGTCCAGGAAAACTCGAGGGGAAAGATCTTACTCTGGAGCTGAAAAAAACAAAAGCTACCCCACCATGTATAGAGGCCAGGGAGAGGAAATTACACATGCAGATGATGGCAGAAAATACCACGAATATTCAATGTTCAATGTACACAATACTAGTGAACGCAGCAGGGATAAAAACAGTGAGTCATGTGGAGCCTATGATTACAGCGCTGATGAGTGCAGCGTATGCGACAAATACCTCAGAAGTAGCGACAATTGGAGCCGAAACTCTGTGGACGATTGTAGCGAAAACTTCAGCGACAGCAGCAGCGACAACTGTGGCGATAATTGTAGCGACGACAGTGGCGACAACTGTAGCGACGACTACAGCAACAACTGCAGGGACTCTTACAGCGCCAAACCAAATCACTGTGGGAACGATTGCAACTGCCACGACAATGAGTTCAGGGAAGTGCTTGATCCCGTACAGCCCAGTCAAATAAACATCTGCCTAACTATACGCACAGCGGATGCAAGTCTGGCGGAACCACCGAGAGTAACATCATCTGAGAGCAAGTGTCATGGCAAGAGTACTGCTGCATGCACCATGAAGTCCCAGCCTACCCAGACATGTCGCCAGTGCCACACAGGATGCGCTACTCCGTCTCATTGGGACACACCTCGAAGCAGCTGCGGGGAAAACCTCTTTGAAAATGTCAGAATCCAAAGCCCGAGAACATGCAGACCGCGAACTCAATCGAAACATTATCCAAACAAGTGCCACAAAAGTGAAGCACCCATCCGTACTCCCCCCATGAATGAAGGCAAAAGGTCAAGGCCCTCTCTTCAAAGAGGGCACGGACGCAGCAGCTGTGACAAAAAGCAGCCTCTGCGGCCAACTATAAGACCTTGCAGTAAAGTGCCAGCAAGATCAAAGCAGAAAAGGGTTGTGTTGAACACGAATTGTGTGTCTCAAGGAACCCCAGTGGAATCGAAGAGAGCTGGGCATCGACATCTAGCGAACACTAGGTCGTACTGTACTGCCAAAAGCGTGCCCAAGAACTCCACAACGAGCTTGAGCAGTTGTCCAAGTGGAAAGGGCTCATCAAGTTGTGGAAAAGAAGCAAATGAAAAACCCGTAGAACATGCTTGCCCTCCAAATCCAGTGCTGGGTGACAATGTATGCCCTGGAGGTGCTCAGAGCGAATACAGCGGCAATTTTGCATTTCTGACAAGCTGCAATACAACAGGACCCATTGAGCGCGGTGACCTGTGCTGCCCTAAGCTCGTCGCTGAATGGGATCAGGATGGCTGCCGCTGCAGGACTGCCATTGAGAGTTTGAAGCAGGAGCTGCTGCAGAATTTGAGAACTGAGAACCCCCAACCCACTCCGCACATGATGTTCCTGCCTTGTCAGCCGAATGCTTGCCCTTTTGCCTGCTGGACTCCAGACCCTGTTGTGTCCTGGCCACCTTGCCCCATGCCACAAGCACCGTGCTCGTTCTAAATAAAAGAATTAACAGAAATTCCTTGGTAAATTATAACATCTATTGAACAACAATCGAGGTAACGATCCTTTGGCTCAGGAATATGGTTTTGTGCGCAGCACAGTTGTGGTGAGAATGCCACAGTCCCACCAAGTGGGACTCCAGACAGATGACACATTAGTGTTAAAGCAAACAGACCAAGCAGCTATTCTACAGTGACATCTAGCAATGGGTTGGGTCCTTGGGGTACTTACTTACCTATTTGCTTACCTATAAGAAGCGGATGGACGATAAGGGTGTACCTGTTTTGCCATTGGAGTACCATTATTAGAACAAAAGCTCTAGTTTGCCGCACAAGCAAGCTGCCAGTTTTCATTTCGAATCAGCTCTCCAGAGCCTGCTGCTGTCAGAAATGCCAATTTAGAAAACCCAAGCTGCAACTTTTCCGAAATGAGTCTAATTAACAGAGCTCAGATTTGTGCAACGTTTGCATTCTCTGCAGATTCCTGCTGCAGAAGCAACTGCCAGCAATGTCCGTCAGAACGGACTGGCAGCAAAAGTGAATGGGGAGCTTCAGAGCTTCTGGGGACCCAGACATAGGGCGACTTGAACTTTCGAACAAATGAAAACGAGCCAAATGACAGCATCCAATTTACGTTTGCAATTAAACTGACACCGAACAGACACTTGATTTAGTCGGAGGCCCTCGAACCCTGTTTCCCCCACCGCACAGACATGTCGATTCATGGTCGTAGACAGCTGCCCAGCATGCAGGCAGATTTATGAATATGGAAATACATATTAATTGCTGTCTTCTTCAGTTCCAGTAGAATCTCAACGCACCACTTGCACAATCACCAGGCCCCGACACCGGAACACCTTCGTATAGTCCGCCATGTTTGTATTATTCCGCAGCTGAGAGGCGTGGCTTCCAATTTTGATTTCAGTATTCGATTCTAGCTCATCACTGACTTGTATTTCAAGGAATCATATTTCGTATATCGAAGTATAGTTGGGTGTAAGCTCATAGTTGAAGAATGTGTTTATTGAGCCGTGAATGGAGTGGTAGCCAACGCCAGAAAATATTAATGCGGAGCGCTTATCAAAAATGGCAGCAATCAGCACGCTCAGTTAGCACCTCGTTACACCGCGCATGGGAGGTTGTGGGGACCGGACACATGAACCCATCACTCCCCTCACAGACACACATTAATCGTGTGAAAGTGTGGACTAGCACCAGCAGCAGCAACATTTCGTCTGCTTTCGTTTTTTTTTGGGGGAACAGCAGTCAAGTAGGAGCCGCTCTAAAAGCCCCATCAAGGCCAAGTGGCGTGTCAATCGGCCATTAACAGGGGTCTGGACTCGCTCTTTTTGCCACCGATAAATAAAAGCAAACACCTAGCACCTCCCACACACGCACCCTTCGAACACACCAATGTACGAGCAAGAAGAATTATTGGAGTCCTAAACGACGCCGAGACTGAACTCCGAGTAGAACTCTCGGGAGAATGGTCGATTTGAAAGGTTTTCTGGTTGCAGCAAGATCTGAAAAAGAAATTTCTTAATTAAAAATTAAATGCGGCAGGGCAGGCAACACTTGGAAATTTGTAAGAAAATTGCTCATTAAAAGTTTTCACCTGGAGCGGCGCTCAAGGCGAATCTCGACACTAATTTTCATTTCATGTAATTATGTGCAGCAACTGAAGAAACAGCACAACAAAAAATACCATCTCTTGTGCCTTCCCCAGCAATTTCGACCCCATTCTTGTCGTCGCTTGTTGTGAGGCAGCACCGCAAGTTTTCCAGCACGAGGCAGCAGTGCGGCAAAGAGTTGAGGCAAAGTTCCTTCTGGCAAAGACACAACTTTATGCAATGTGTGGACCCAACATGCTGCAAGGCTGCATGCTCGCTGCTAACAAATATTAGCCATTATCATTTGGCATTCGTTTTGCACTTGGCCACTGGCAAATTCAATTGATTTTGCATTGCGCTTGCAATGGCTTCCCTGGTGTCCACAGCGGGCTGCATCCACATCAAAGCTTAATACTGCAAAAATAATGTGCACAAATTGAACTTGTAAATAAATCAAATCAAAATGTCTCGTCCTCTGGTGGTTGCTGTCTTGCAAGCGCATATTGCTCTCGGAATTGAGTTACATTTGAATATTTTCCCCATTGCACTGGCAAATGCTGTCAGATATTCACGAGGTCTGAACTTTCTCCGCCCAGTCTGTGTGCCTCTATAGAATTGCCAGAATTTCCCTTTCTCATAGTTGAGTTTGATTGTTTTTTTTTTTGGCAGAATTTCAGGCACAAGTCAAAGCCCAATGTCAGTCCAAAATGTGTTTGGTCCTTACACTCGAGCATGGAGTTCATTTTATTTGCCATAAATTTGAATTTCTCTTGATTTGGTATTCAAATCGAAGATATTTCTCACTCTAATTTATTTTTGTGCCTGAGTAAATTAATATTTCCAGCAAGGATTAGGAGTGTGCACTGTGAACTTTACAAATGTTTAATTGCATTCATTTATAGCAAATCATTTCGGTTTCCTTTCGTGCATCTAGTGTATAACAGGGCGTATAATTGATTTCACTTCCGCGAGCTCACGAAAGGGGCGCCGGCCATAAATCCCCCAACACACAATACGCCCCGCTTAAAATTATACGGATAAGATCATGAATAAATCTACATGGAACTGTATTTACATTCGCCACAAAAGGGAGCCGCAGGCTCCCGCAATATCGTGGCGGAGTTCGAAAATGCGAAAATGCGAAAATGCGAAAATGTTCCATTGCCTGGCAGGGTGCCTTCAGTTGCCCCTGCAGAACGCAGCCGGTGATTAATTATCTACATGAAAGCGTGCAATTTACAGCTTACCTTGGCTTCGGAACTGCTCAGTTCTCCGCCCTCCCCCTGCTCGGTTGTGTTGTGTTCATGGAGTGTTTAGTTGTCTGGGCCCGATCACAGTTCGGATAAGCTGCGAAAGTTACAGCGAAACTGATTTCCATGGCGCACTTTATCTAAATTAAAATCAAAAACTCTGCCGGTGCCGGTGCCAGTGCCGGACTAAAACTCGTTCACCTGCGAGCTACACGCCAATGGGGCCTTGGACCTAGTGGTAGACAGGCGGCAGGCCTGCCTAGTTCCCTTTTATTTTGTTGATTATACCACTTTTTGGAGTGGCAAGTTCCTACGACTGCTCTCGAGTCTATAGCTGCAAGTGCTCCGAGTTCCATTTCCTGTTTGTTTAATTAACAAAATATCTTTAAACTGCAATAAACTAACATTTCAGCTCTGTTCTGTACTGCCTGTGGTACATTTTGACCCATCATCTGACTGCTGCTCAGATGCGCAGAAGATGATGTCACGACTTAACCCAGCCCATAAAATGCTGTAGATTACCAACCGGACTCGGTTTGTCAATGTCGGTGGAGTCAGCGGCTGTGTCGCTGTTGTCTGCAGGTAAATGGTGTGTATTTCAATTTAGCTGCGGATAAATTGCCCTCAATAAAGCGAAAGAAAAAGTCTAATTTGTTGGAGTCGTTTGTTTCCAGTGTCATATCTGCCAGAATGTATCTCTCTCTTTGTCTGCGGCTGAGTGATGAGATTCTTATTTTAATTTTGATGCTTTGCCGCCTCCGTGCCTGCCATGCTCTCTGCTCCAGTTGCAGATGTATTTCCAGCAGATTTGTATCTGTTAGTTACATTTACAAATTGCTTAACGCATTTACCCATCCTGCTGGGCCACACTCAGGAATTGAATGTGAAAATAGATCCGTTTGCGGGCCTCTCACTGCCGCAGTACTTCGGTACAACTAATGCCGTGTGGTTAGAGCTTTCAGTATTTGATGGATACTTGAATGACTCTCCATCCTTCTGCAGCAGCATGACACAATGCCGGGCACTTGGCAACGTATTAGCCACAAATTTCCGAGGAGCGTTGATCGAGTGCGTCATGTTTGTGGCCTCAAATAAAAATGGAAAAGGGAATCATGTTGGGCACCCGATCTCCTCGTAAATGGGTATTCAAAAGTGTCCAGAAAAGAAGTATAAGTTCGGAAATTGTTGTCCCAAAATTAAATGAATCTGCCCGCATGCATAACTCCCACAGGAACTCCTTCCAAAATGGCTCGGAACATCATCCCTTGGCTGGGAAGCAATGGGGTTTTGCTCGGCTTATTTACAATGACCAACTTGTGGGCCATTAGCAGAAATGAAAACAAGAGCGAGAGTGGGATAAAAGGCGAGTCTATGAAGCGCTTATTAAAACGACACTTTAGCCCCGTGACAGGATGTGCCGACACATCCTAAGGCGCACAAGCAAAGGTAATTTAGATTGTGTCCCAACCCATGCCCAGCCAGACCCAGTTGACATGGAGGTTAAATAGATTAAGGATATCGCCTTCACCAGCCTATCCACCTGCCGCCTGCCAAGGGTCGAGTTCAGGTCCCTAGCCAAACAGAAAGTAATTGCCAAATATTGGGGCAAAAACATCCGCAGCGAGCGTGGAAGGCCCGTTCCTGTTTCTGTTCCGTTTGTGGGCCAACAAGAAATTGAATTATTAATGTTGTCATTGGGTTTGGGTGCGTTGAAAGTTTGCCGCGAACTTGCCTCTCACCTGCTTGTTAATGTCCAAAAAACAGAACTTGTTTGTCCAGGCACCACAATTAAGTTGTCAGTCAGCTGTCTGCGGCGGTGTCAAATGGCGGGCCTGAGCCCCATGGCGGTGACTTTTGACTTTGATTAGAGCCGAAGGCGTGTCCCTTGGGTGCGTCTGCTGTTCTCGTCATGTTCCTCTACATATAAAGATTGTTTATTCTTGTATTCGATACTCAAAGATGCTAGCGATTTATTATATGTGTGTAACAGTCAAAAAGAAGATTGTCCGCCTCATTTCTATGTGTCTGCCGACGCCTCTGTGGCAGCATTTGCTATAATTTCTACAATAAATACAAGTAATTACTGTGACGGCTGTGAGGTTGCTTGGAGTGTCATTAAAAATTCAAACTCATGAACGCTGAAGGATT